GTTGGATTAAATGCACGAAAAGTATTAGCACCATCTCCATCCTCAAAAAGAGTATTTTCTACTGTTGCGCCATGAATAGCACATAAAAGAGCTGCACCTAAAACTCCAGCAACACCCATCATATGAAAAGGATTTAAGGTCCAATTATGGAAACTGGAGTTTGTCTCTAAGGAACGATTCCAATTCAGATCTCAGTTTCACTGCTTCTGATCGTGGACCAGAGATTGCTACTAGAAAATCATCTGCGAAGCGGATGTAATGCATCCTTCGGTTCCAATGCGTGGGATTCAGACGCGAAGCGTCTGCTCTTCGAGCCTTGTTATATTCACGGATAGTTGTTTCTATAAAGTGGTCGAGTTCATTAAGGTATATATTTGATAGTAGGGGACTAAGGCCGAAGGGGCGCCGCCTGGCGGCGCCTATGGTCGCCTCTTCAATCTCTCCGTGTGGCATATGAAAAAAAGCTTGTAGTCCATTGATTTGCAATATGCAAAAAATAGTACATTCTATAGAGAATCTATTAGAATATCGAAAATGTAAATAATAAATATAATAAAGTCAATAATTAAGTAGCTATTTATTATTATTTGCTATTATAATTCTGATCAATAATCATAAATATCATATATTGAAAAAGAAAAAACGAAGAAGGAAAAAAGAAAAAAAAAGGAGGAAAAGAGAAAAAAAGAAGAAGGAAAAGAGAAAATCCCAGCCCATGCGGCTGAAAGGTACGTCTCGCAACTGTTGATGACAGACTCCCCGAGTTCCAACCCTCTGATCAGATGAGATGACTTAAAAAGACAGCTCTGAATTACCTGGGCCGCTCAGTGCGATGACGATATATACACATAAAGAGAGAAAAAAATTATATATATATATATCGTCATTAACAGAACTGCCCGGTAAACCGTAGGCAGAGAGAGAGAAGAGGTCACAAACAGAATATATATATATATATATATATAAAAAGAGAAAATATATATACCAGTGGAGGAGAGAAGGCGGCGTAGGAGAAAAAGATTATCGATGAGAGGCAAAGCAACATTGAAAGAGTCTGATCAGATGAGATGACTTAAAAAGACAGCTCTGAATTACCTGGGGCCGCTCAGTGCGATGACGATATATCTCAACGCCGCCGCCTTTTGAAGAACAAACGGGGATGATTTTTTCAAAACTTTAGAAAAAAAAAGAAAAGAAAAGAAAGTCGACATATAAACAGATAGAGAGATCGATAAAATATATACACAAAGAGAAAAAGTATATATACAAAAAGAGAGAAAATATATATACCAGTGGAGGAGAGAAGGCGGTGTAGGAGAAGAAGATTATCGATGAGAGGCAAAGCTATACAACAAGGTTCTTTAAAAAAAAAAAAAAAAGAACGCAAAAAAAAAAGGGAAACGCAGTACAATATAGAACCGAACGGGGTATGAAGGTAGAAGGCAAGGGGACGGATTACGAACACTTGGGGGCCAAAAAAAAAAAAAAAAAAAAAGAAGACCAGTAACAGATTCAATCGACACAAATGGAAAGAGATATCTTTTAATCCGATTTTGAGCAGCGTGATTTTTTTTTTAATTCGATCGACATATAGACGTCAATACAAAGATGTAAGCACGGAGATGTAGATAGCTTTAAGAAAGCTTTACATAGGGAGATAGATATAGATAATACAAAACGATAAATAAATAGATATGCCAATAAAAATAAATAAATAGATAGATAGATAGTGAGAGAGAAAGAGAGAGAAATAAATAGTGGGAGAGAGAGAGAGAGAAATATTAGATAGAGAGAGAGAGAGACAGAGAAATAAATAGATAGTGAGGGAGAAAGAGAGAAATAAATAGTGAGAGAGCGAGAGAAATAGATAGAGAGAAAGATACACACTTGCAATATTTGGAACAACACGCGCGAGGTTTTACTATCACAGCAAACACGTCCCGTCCATGGCATGCGACTAAACCAGTCGCGATTACCCTTCTACCTCACTGCTCAGGTAATCTTCACAGCCATTATCATCATATTTATACCCTACTGGTCCAAATACATCCTCTCCTCAACCCCTCTCCCTTGCAGTTCTCCCCTTCATCATTCCATCTCCGTCGCTGCACTCGATATCAGTAGTCGATGTCGTCGCGGAAGTCCTTGTTACTGCGCAAATAGATAGAGAGAGAGAGAGAAATAGAGAGAGAGAGAAATAGAGAGAGAGAAATAGAGAGAGAGAGAGAGAGAGGTGGATGGGTGGACATATAAACAGATAGAGAGATCGATAAAATATATACACATAAAGAGAGATATATATACATAGAGAGAAGAGATAAACAGGGGGACTGGCGGATGGATAGGCAAATCGATAGGTCAGATCGAGTGATTGATTAGGGAGTATTGGTAATTGGTGATAAGGCAGGTAGACAGACTTTTAAATTCATATTAAGGGATAATTAAGCAAGTAGGTAGGTTGGTAAGCAAATTGGCAGGTACACATAGGGAGACATGCAGGCAATCCAGCAGTTTATTTTTCTTCCACCACTGATGCAGCAGATATTTTCCATCCATTTCTCGATTTATGCGTGTCATCCTTGAAAGCGCAGGGGCCATTTTGCTAATTACCCTTACTCTGTCTCTCTGTCTCTGTATCGTTCCAATCCTTTTAACGGATGTTCCGAAGGAGTCAGCAGCACATATATTCGGAGTCTTGATATATACAGGGGTCGACATGGATAGCCCGACAAGCTACCCATCACATGAATTAACAGGGGTCTCGACGTGGATAGCCCATCGTCACATGAATGTCGCCCCTGAGTAAACAGGGGTCTCGACATGGATAGAGCCCGATGGGTGGGCAGGTACAGTGGGCACGAAGGAAATCACCATCACGTAACGCTTTTTTTTTCGCTTTTTTTTTTAGCATACATATTCTACACACACGTACTTACGAAATAGTAAATACAGACATGAAGGGCCTCGCTCTATTACTCTCTTCACATGCAGAAAAGACAAAAAAATACGGCGGTGTACCTTTCCATGTTCCAGCGGAAGATTCATTCTCAATGTGGACAGTTGGTGAGTTATGAGAGAAGCGCGGCCCGAAGAAAGCCGTAACGTTAAACAGTACGTAAGACCGACCAACAAGTGAAAAAATAAAAAATAATAATAATAATAACAATCAACGGACAAAAAAACTCCAGAATCAAATAGATCGACGGGCATAGCAGTGAAATACAGCCCCCCCCCCCCCCTCCCGCCCTACTCACCAAATGTGCTACATGAGAATGTATCTACCGATAGAACGTGGGTAGATACAGGCGCCGTATTTTTGTCTTTTACACATTTGGTAAGTGGTCCGCCTAGGCCCTTCTGACTTCCGCAGAACACAACGCACACTCACCATGACTGTATCGGGCTGGAAAGATAGCTTGTATACAAATCTCGTAATGAGGGTGTACTGTGATCGGGGGAAGGTTACACGTGATATTTCGATGGAGACAAAAAAATAACGTACTAGGCGTATATAGATTAAAAACAAAAAAAAACAGCTAAAAAAAATGCCTACATCGACATGTGCGGATAGCAAATAGCTAAAAAGAAAAGCCTACATCAACATGCATTGGTAATAAACAAATATCTAAAAATATTCCTATGCATAGGTAATAAATAAATATCTAAAAATATTCCTATGATGCCCACATCGACATGTGTGAATAGCAAATAGCTAAAAGAAAGCCTACATCAACATGCATCGGTAATAGATAAATAAATATCTAAAATAAATATCTAAAAATATTCCTATAAGGACATGGATCGCTAAAAACGCATAATTGCAGGAAAATCCCCCCAAAAAAAGGATGTACAGTAAAGAGGCCACTGGAGCAAAGAATCTGCTACCGCGACCTACTCAAAAGATATGAGGGGGAAGGGGGTGCTCCGGTCCCGACCGCCCGTCGGGACGCGGTGGACGTAGAGAACAACTGAGACGGCGCATGTTAGGGAGGGAGGCAGACAAAGAGAGAGAGATAGAAAGAGGGGCACAGAGAGAGGGAGGGAGAGAGGGAGGGAGAGAGAGAGAGGGAGGGAGGAAGTAAAAAGGAAGCGAAGAACCTACCCGCAACGTCTCGTGCAGCTGCTTCACGGCATGTAGGGAGCGCGAGTCCCAACCGCCTGCCAAGCGCGCATCGCGCCTGCGCCCGCTTCCGCGACTACCGCTCCGTCCCAACTCCCCTTTCTGCGCGCGCGATCGCACGTCTGAGGACGACCCGCTGCTTGCTGTCCGCCCGCTGTTAGACATGGACGCCTTGTACAACAAGCTCCCAAGGTCTGACACTTCTCTGTCGTACCTTCTCCTCGATCTCCGCCTGCGTGATCGCGTGTCCCTCTTCTTCTTCCTCTTCTCCCATTCTCCATTATCCAGGCAACAAAAACAAGAGGACCAAGATGCCTTACTCCGCACAGCTCCGCCTTTTCCTCCTCCTCCCTCACCTCCACCACCTCCACCTCCTCCTCCTCCGCTCCCCTCTCCTGCCCCTCCTCCCCCTCCTCCCCTCCCGCCTCTCCTTCCTTGTCGCCTCTCCATCACGACGTCAAATGGATTCTACTTGCTTAGTGTGCAGATTTCACGTAACGTGACTGTAAACGGACACTTCCCGGCTGAGATTCGATGCCAGTAAAGCAACGGAACCGATGCGTGTCAGTTCAGTCGTTTTCCTTGCTGCGCTCTGCACCACCTGCCACAGGAAATGCAACCTCTCTCTCTCTCTCTCTCTCTCTCTCTCTCTCTCTCTCTCTCTCTCTCTCTCTCTCTCT